CCCCAGAGTCTGTCCTTTGTACTCCCTCGGGGGCTCTCTGCTCTGCTCCCACGGTTGCTCTGCCGCACGCTTTTTGTGGTTTGCCTCGGTGTCTCAGGGAAGCCTCCAGTCTTGAATGCGAATTGCACAACATCACACAGCTAATATTGGTACGAGTTAGAATTTGAACCCAGCTCTTTAGCCCCATGCTGCACAGTGGGCCCTTGCCCAATTCACAAAGCGGGGAGGGGCAGAATCTTGAGAAGATAGAATTTTCGAAATCTTACATTTTTCTCTGATAGAATTTTCTTGAAAACCTTGGTGCGTGTGTTCACTTGTTCACCAACAATTCCTAGAAGATGATCAGACATGCAGATATCAAAAAGGACTGATAATAGAAAATTTCAGAACTAGCCCACCTTGATTGTTTGTCAGGACATTGTGAATACAAACTTGAAGCTGGGTTTTTATGTTATGCACATTTTACCAGTGAGTTGTTACAGGTTTATGTTGTAGACATAAAGCCCCGCAGTAGCTAATCAAGTAGAATTCTGGCACAGAAAACAAAAGACATGGAAAATCCGGTTTGAAACTTGGCCCTTGTATTTGTGCCTGAAAAATGGCTAGGATGGAGAAGCGTAGAAAGCCTGCGGCAGTAAACAAATAGCTAGAAGCTAGAAGAAGCTTGCCTGAGATGCAGGGGAGCACTGTGAAGGGAAGCACAGTGGGAGTTGGGGGAGTGGCAGATGTGATCAATTGGAAACTGTGTTGAATCAGTGAAAAACCCAGTGCCAGTCAGACATGTGCTCTGCCACCTCCCAGATAAGATTCTCAAGAGGGAGACTGAAAGAAATAATGGAGCGAGCCCCAATCCCAACTACATGGACAGCACCCCCTTCCCCCCAGAAGAATTCACTTCAGAGGACAGCACTGAAGCTGCAACTCAGGGAGAGGGACATGTCTAATCAGCACACACGGGAGCAAATGAAGGGGAAAGAAGAGAGAGTGGAGCACATCCTGGCCCACCAAGCCCCGAGGACAATATTCCTCTGTGCAGCTAATGCACAGAGAGGACCATAGGACCGGCCCCACTACAAGATATGATGTCCCTCACTGACCCATAGCGCTATGAGGGACAGCACTGGAGACAGTGCAGGAATTGCCCCTGATCTGACCCCAGCACATGGAGGTGAAACATTAAGGTGTGCAACAGAGCAGCAAGGAGAGCAGAGTAATGAAGTCCCCATGGAATCAAAAATACACTGTGGGGACAGGGCGTGGCACCACATCAGACTCGACTGCAAAACACTCCTAAAAGTCAACAAACAGACTTCGAACTAACTACAGGCTTTTCTTTATGTGTCCGTGGGTTTGTTGTTGTTGTGATTTTATTCTCTTTGGTTGCTTTGTTTTGCTCTGTTTTGGTTGTGTGCTTATTATTGTCTGTGCAGGTCTAGCTAGTAAGATATGCAGGATAAACAGTCTGGAGAATAAAACAATGGGACCGATGGTCCTGGGACATGGGAGAAGGGGCGGGGAAGCAGTGGGGGGAAGTGGGTGTTAACAAACCCAGGGACAATGGAACAACAAGTGAACGAAAATCGGTGGCGAGGAGGGTGTAGGAGGCCTGGTAGGGCATGATCAAGGGCAATGTAACTGAGAGAAATTACTAAACCCAAATGAAGGCTGAACATGATAGTGGGACAAGAGGAAAGGAAAAGGAAATAGAGGAAAGAACTAGGAGGCAAAGGGCAATTATAGAGGTCTAAATACAAGCATGTACATATGTAAATATATTTATATATGACAAT